GGCATCTGGCTGAATTTTTACTTCCAAGAACTTGAGTAACTTTAGGATAAGATTCTTGTTTAAGCCAAAAATAGAGTACAAGAAGAAATACCAGGGTATTATGCACCTCTTACAGTTCTATTTTGTGTGGCAAAGTGAAAGACATCCCATGTACTTCAGGCACTAACTAGGATGCTGTCATGATTAGGGAACGATCCCCACTCTGTTGTCCTGTTGTCGGTTTGTCGAGTCCCCATCTCGCTCCCCATGTGGTGGAGAGCCAATCAAGGGGTTTGTAGCTGGGTGATCAGAGCAACAGGATGATCTTCCCTAAACTCATTGTCTATGTAACATTCTCCTCTACATAAGTAAACATGTAGATTACATCATTTACTTCTGTGAACTTGTTTTTGACTTTCCATGGTTCCTCACACTCCCACCCTGTCTTCCCAGCTTACCATCAGTTTAACTCCTCCATTCAGATTGTGTGACTTGTAGTCCTCACTAAGTGGGTGCCTATTCTCCTTTATCACCTGTCAGCAGAACAGTTTATAACCCTGAAGCAACAGCTGGTAAATATTGGGAGATGATAAAGTAAATATCTATACCTTATTCCCTAAAGTTCAGACCATTTCTATAAATAATAGAATTATTCTCGGTATTGCAGTTTACCATTCCAAAACAAAAGGTTTATCACGATTTGTTGATATGGTCATAGGAAAACAAAAAAATGACATCATCATATTCCCATGAGCTAACTTTGTTTTTCAGTAATAAATCCCTTTCTGGAAAGGAGGTTCTTATGAACTAACAGTTGTAGATAGTGAAAAGTAAAAATTTAAAGATAAATATTTCATAGATGACAGGAACCTAACTGGGATATTTAAGATCCTTATTAAACTACTGTAGTTGGGGGTATTTTAAAAGCAAGGATTTGCTAAATTTTAATTAATTAACTTAGAGTTACAATAATTTTATTATATCTATCAGTATATTTCATAATAAACATATACCTAGAATCACAATAGATGCTTATATCTTAAGCATAACATAAAGAATTTAAAGGAAATCCTACATCCCGGGGCACTCTGGCAGCCAAAGAAATTGGTATGAATATTTTTAATAAACATAAAACAGTTAAGAAAATCAGAATAGTAGCTCAATATTCAAAAGGCTTGGCAAGGTCCACCAATTCAGGATCTCCTTGAACTTGACATTAAATCAAACGTGATAATAAGCAGTCCTGAAACATAGAATGGAGCAGTCATAAAGATAAAGGCATGGCTGTTCAGGCTGCAAGATTGTCCTGGCTCATTAACAAGGAGCTTCCATTTGTTAGACTATCTGGAGTTCAATGCAGCACTCGAACCCTGGGGAGTCCTGCAGTAGGCATTAAAAACGGAATGAAGATTTCTTTTCTGAATTAATTTGTCAATTAGCTCATTTCCACTACACACTGAGTGTATGTGGGCAAGCAAATGAGCATGATGATTCATGAGCCTGCAGACACTTAAATGATTCCAGAGATGGAGGGACACACCACAATGCATTTAGGAAGATAGAACATAACTCCTGTTATCTGCAGGAGGCAGAACCATGTGACTTTTGCCCTTAAAATTCACAAGCAGTCCTATTGAGTTTGGAAGTGTAAGGAAATCTCACTTTCGGACAGTTCATATTTTGATATAATATTAGTATATAGACTTTAAGACACAACAAGATGGCTTGAATTTTTTTCTGTCCAAATATTTTAAGTCTGGTTATGTTACTTTTATATTTTGTGAAGAAAGGCTTTGGACACTTACATCATGTGATACCTGTGATATAAAGCAGAATTTAACATGTGTGTGTGTGTGTGTGTTCTATATGTGTTTATTAGTCTTAATCAACAAAGCTATAAGCATAATTTTTGTTGAAAAATTATGAAATTTGTTTATAAAAATGTTCAGAATGCTAGGCTAATAGACACTCTTAATTAATGTCTGTGGCTCATCAACTCACCAGATGTCAGAGAAAGGTTATGAAACACAAGAAAATAAAAGTTTGTCATCAATATTGCATTTGTATGTTAACTGATTTCAGCGTGTTTGATGTACTTCCTCATTGGATGCTAAGAAAATTGACATTAAAATTCTCTAGAGAATTTATAGATTTTGTCTTTAAATTTAAAATTATGTTATATCCTGTTTATAGTAGCCATATTAATGATAAGGGAATGTTTACTTTAGCAAGACAAACAGGCAAAACTCACTGCAGTTCTCTACTTAATATCCGGACACATTTTAGAAACATATTCACACAGTGTACAGATCACCATTTAGAATCACTCACTGTAGCCTGTTTCTATATTTACACCTTCACAAAAATATCATGTTTTTCATTCATTTGCATATTGTCTCTAGATTGTCATATTCTTCTTATGTTGTGGAAATGTAAGCACACATTAACTATTTTATTAACAGCAAGTGGAAAAGATGACCAAACAACTGATAGAAAAGTCTGCCCTTTTTGCTACAGATGACAAATGATGTAACAACCCTGTTTTGTTTTGCTTGCAGAAGGTAATTTGTCAGTATTTCTCTTCCATATCTTCAGATACCTGGAAAATCTAGCTTCTCCATATATTTTTATGATATCACCACTAAAATATCAAGTGTATATGTTATAGTGTTCAAATGCAGTAGTATCTATGGTGCATAATACCATCTGAGTAGGTGACCAATGTAGTTTCTTGGTTATTAAGAAAATATGACTAGTAACTCAAATTTCAACAAAGGTCTTGTTTTGTTTTATATACTTTAACATTTTTCTAAAGCTCAATAAGATTTGATTTTGCTAAGTTTTTTTTCAAGCAAGTAAATAAGTCTATGAAATCCCGATACAGGGTTTTCTGAGTTTTCTTGTTAGTATTCAATAGCTTTTTTTCTTCATTAGGCTTGATATGAGCAGTTATAGAAAACACATAATATAAAAATGCAGATTGTCTCTGTTGTACATGAAAACATAACAAAATAGTAGGGTACAAAAATGTCTCTGGAATACCAGGTAATAAATACAATCTTTCAGGGCCTGGAAATCAATTATGTGATCTATGTGTCTACTGATAATATATTTTAAATTAAGGAAAAGGTACTTTTTGAAAGATATTTACAGATTAATATGTTTAACATTCATAAATAAAAGAAACCTAATATTTAAAAAGTTTATGTTAGCTATGGTAATGTTATCTATGTTGCTTGTATAAAGACTAACATTAATAATTATAATAATAATTAATATTAATAATCTTACGAGTATTTTCATAAGAAAATATATTATTGTATCCCAAAAATAAATATATTATTGTATCCCAAAAATTATACTAACAGGAATGTCAACATAGTATAGCTTTAGTGGTCTTTTGAGTATTTTGAAATATATTTTCATGTACAATCACTTTTCTGCTAGTTATTTATTTTAAGTAGTCTTTACAACTGCACATTTAAAAATCTGCTTTTATGAAAGCACCCTCCCAGTTGTAAAAACCCTGCCCATTACCCTGTGCTCCCATTCATTCTGCAATCACTTCTGAGATGTTTTTTCAACAGCCTCATGGGGAAGACTGACTTTATGGAATCTGATATTGACTGACTGCAGATAGGAACACTGAGGCTAGCAGCCAGGTACATTAAACTCAGTTTAGAAATGTTAGAACATTCTTCTTAATCCAAAAACAAACAAAGAAACAAAAATCACATCTTCTTTCTTTTATCCATATACATGTTTCCTCTGGGCTTCCGGAAATGTCATATTTCTCAAGAATATCACAAGCAAAAGGAATTTTCAGCAAAGATCTTGTTTTACTTGATGTATTTTATAACTCTTCTGATATTCAATATAATTTGATTTAGCTTAGTTTTATTTCTCAAGCAAATAATAAATCTACATAATTTCTACAGACGTATGACCCAGGCAGATGCTGCAATAGATGATAAGCAACCTCAGAACATTACCAGGACATCTCTATCCTAATGTACTTTCTGGCATTCACGTTGACAGAGGAGAAAGAAAGCTAAGAGAACAACCATCAGGAGGAAGCTGATTTTCTAATAGAGAATAAACTCCCAAAATACATTTAGATTGGTCAATTTAATAACTTATTTATGAGACAGTATTACCCAGTGGCCATCTATACACAATAAAGATAAAAACACAATGAAATATGTGCAGTATATATTATTAAAGGGTGCAAATATTAATAACAATGGCTCTTAAATCTCCCAATTTCTGCAGTATGGTATTGTCTTTAAATGAAGTTTCTTACATATTGTAAATTGAGCATGAAGTTAAGGAAATGAGGGAAAGAGAATTAAAATATCTAAGAATAACAAAACACAAGGGACATACACTCCATCTGCCTCCTGTTTATGTTCCCAGCATTAATGGACAACAGTTCACACTTAGAAATATGTCTCCAAATAGGAGGCAGAGTACCCCCAAATGCTTTTTGGTTGATTTTTCTCTCCTCACAAGACAACACCATTTTAATCAGAATTAAGCTTCCCATCCTACTTTCTTGTCAATTTAAAGACAGAAAATCTGAGGCCTTTAATCTGCCTCTAATGATACAGTTTTTCTATACTTGCCTTGTGAGCACGAAGTTCATCTCCATACACAAGTTAGAAACACATGAGCCTTCTCAAGGTTTGGAGTCTTTGCTAATACTAATGACTTTCTGAACTGTGGGGATAATGCTTGTGCCATGTCTAAGTCAGTGTGTGATAAAAACATATAACCCACCTCTTAAACCTTAGTTTTGTCTATTTCTCTCTCCTCCATTATTTTCTTCTTTGAAAAATACATAAGTATGAGCTGAATATATCTAACTGAGCAATACACCCCCAGAGACCTATAGCTGCATCAGTATTTGTGTGTGTTTTATAAAGAATCACAACATAAATTTAACATCTCCAGTTCCTTGGTGCTTGACCTATACTTCCCCATCATTTTGAGAGACGATGAGGAAGGACCAGAATGAGACAGACATCAAATCCATTTATTCTGAATCTTAAATTATGAGCTTTATCATCAATATTTTGGTTACATTGTTACACAAAGGACAAATTAACATCCAGTTTGAGGTCACATCTTAGATTGCTTTGGGATTAGTGACATTTCCTTGGCACACAAATACTGCACCAGGTCTCAATTGCAACTTAATTGTGTTGTTGCACAAGATGCCAAAAGAAGCAGGGTTTGAAAAACCACCCATGGGGTACAGCAGCCAGTACCTTTAACTGCTGAGATTTCCAGTCCAGGTGGCTTCTGGCCAGATGTTCATCCACAGAGCATCAGTCAGTCAACACAACCCTCTCCTTGTCAGATCAAAGGAAGATCTCCAGGAGGAGGCACTGGTCCTGTTTCTTTGAAGCATCTTGTAATTGTGTGGCCACTCAGAGGCAGATCTAACTCACTACTGAGACATATCCAGAGGAAAAGCACAGAGGGAATTAGGCCACATCAGCTCTGCCATTGTTAAGGGATTCATGAGCAATGAGCAATGCCAGGTTACTAAGGGATCCCAGAGTATAAATTAAAAAAATAAAATAAAATCCACATTGCAAGTTTGAAGATGCATTGAGAGAGACTCCAGGGAAGAATATGCAGAATGTTCTATTTGCTGTCCTTACTTTGAAATAAAGACTTTTTTCCTGGTTTCCTTTATCCAAAACAAAGTATGCAGATTTTGTTCTGTTTTGTTTGATCTCATACAAGGACTGAACATAAGTTTTGTTGTTCTGTTTTTTTCTTTCTGAGACCCCAACATTAAAACTATGTAGCTTCGAGGAGTGAAACCTGAGGAAGGAAAAGAAAGCTTCCAGAGGAAAAAAAGAAAATCATGGACAGTACAAAACAAATGCTGCAGTCCAATCGTGCAAAATTTGCTTCTCAGGATAAAGCACTTTTCGACAAGTTCCCAATGCCCAGCTCCCTCCCAATACCCCCAAAGACCCTAGGGAAAAGCTACAGAATGAAAATGAAGCCATTCTTTTTCTTAAGGCTACACACACACAGAACACAGGTCAAAGACTGTCTGGTAGGTGGTTCTTTGCTGGACTCTTGCTTTAAGCCCTGACTGAAGCGTGCAATCCATCTGAGGGTCAGCAGCATCTATGTCATCAGGACAAGATACAACGTACAAACAAGAGAAGTTAAGTCAATGGTTCCAACAATAAAATCCGATATCGACTTTACAATCACAGGTACAAATTGCTCAAATCGATAATTTCATTTCTCCTTAAGACTTTGTCTTCTAAAACTAATTAGAGGCCAGGTTCCCGAGGAATTGTCAATAGTCAAAGAAAATACTGGAACTTTAGAAGAAACTCATTCTTCTACAGCAATAATCTGATGGAGGCGGGCCCAAGCCATCCTATCCAGACAAGTTCAAGGTATTACAGGGGGCAGATCCCTGGGTCCTGATCAAAACTTTCCCACCATCCTGGTGGCTCTGAGTCTATAGAGGAAAAACCAAGAAGCCCGAGAATGTGGAGTATTTCCAGCCTCCCATGAGGTTGCCTCTCTCCAGTTTGAGATGAACTTTGTCTTCTCTTTCCATGAGCAGCAGAACACCATTGCTGGCTGCTTCCCTGGTAACATCCTGGTCTCCTGCAAATGCAGAGATCACCGGGTAGCCGTTCTGCATTAAACTAACCTATAAGGCAGAAAGGAAGACTCAGCAGATTAGAGGCCATCTCAGCCCCACATCCTGTTCTCTTCTCCCCCTAAGGGTTGTCACCCCCCATCTAACTTGTAGAACCCACACACCTGGAACCTGAAAGTAGACTTCCACCTGTCTCAGAGACAACCCTCTCTCTATCAATCATTCAAGGGCCCATCTTTCAAACCTACCCACCTGGATTGTTTGTCTGTTGTATACTTTGACCACGTGGAAGCTGAAGCTATAAATTCCCTTTCTTGGTGCTACAAATATACTGGAGGCAAGGTCAAAGTGGTTGCCAATGTTTACTAAGACCTGAAAAATAAGAGGGGACAGCATACTGAGGTGCCCACACAGCATTTCCTTTCTTAGCTTATATTTTCTCCATACATTCAGGTGACTACCAAGGGAGCTGATTTATTGGTATTGAAAATAGGTACCACCAAGTCAACAGATTTACCCAAACAACACAAGAAGCATCTAGTATCAAATTGAAAATAAAAGACATTCAAGAGCGAAAAGTATTCAAAGTTATTCTCATAGCTTCTAATTAATAAGGACTCTGGAAGTGCATTTTAACTATACATTCAAATAGATGTAATTTTTGTATAATAGTATCCAGGAAAAAGTAATGGGTGACAGTAAAGTCAAGAAACAATTTGTAAATCCATTTTGTTGTTATTATTGTTGTTATTTGAAGGTGATGTCTCCTGGGGAGTTCAGCCTGGTGCTGTGATTATTGCATAAAACTTCATATGGAACAGAGAGAGAGAAAAGAGAATGGAGCAGCAGACCAGTCCCTCCCATGATTTCACTTGAGTAAGGATAAGATGTGGTGTTAACTCCCTAGGCTCCAGGAGAGAACGGCTTGTCTAAGGTTTCCCTGTCTCGTGGGCTCCAACCTCTGGCAACCGAGTAGGTGCCTCATAGTTAGCATTCAATGATGAGTTTTGTTAGGAAGCGCTGGCTGCTGTCTTGTTAAAATTCATTCTCTGCTAAGCAGTACTTGCTTTGTTGGTTGAATGAAGGGATCATGCAAAAAAGCCTGAACAAAGACCACTGAACTGGTAGCTTGGACACTCCTAGTCCAAAGTAACAGAATCTCCACCGCCAGAAAGAAAAAAAGCACAATTAGCTTCCTGCAGGGGATTCTGTAGTCCTACAGGTGGTCTTCCTCAAATAAAGAGGAGTAAGCACAGGGCTGTGAAGAATCAAGCTCCCCATCTGACTCCCTGTCTCTCCAAAATACAATCTGGATATTTTGTCTGCACCCTGTTTCCATCTCTCCTGCAAAAATTCCAACTCTGTTAAAAATAATAAAATCACCTGCTGGTGTCTTATGTTTTCAAAATAAACAACAAGCTACACTAAAACTCTGGACTTGCTTTTACCTGGTCATAAAATAAACTAAAGCTCCAGGGCTTTGAGCTGTTACTTTTACACAGTTGTGTAGATGAACTATACAGATGCTGAGAGCGAACTGGATTGCTGTAAGTAACATTAGCCTGTGTGGCTTGGAGAACACCCAGCATCTTCCCCATGCAGTGAGCATTACTTCAGCTTCCTCCAGAGCAGGAGGCTCACATGCACACTCTGCTCCACCTTTGAGGACAGAGCACCCCTGATGTTTGTGTCCACTGCTCACCAAGGTGTTTCACTGGAAAATGAAGCACTCCCTTGCACGCCCTTTCAGCAGCTTTGACTCCTCTCTCTGTTTTGTCTCAATGTGGATTTTAAATTCGGGATGGCTTTATTGAAGATGAAAAGACACCCAGCCAGGCTCCCAGCAAAGAGTCACCCTCACTGACAACCTAACAGGAACTAGAAAAAGTTAATTCATCTACAAAACAAGATTCCTATCACTCCTGACCATGTATCCAAACTTTCCTGACAACTCTAGAAATCACTGGATCTAAAAAGACTGAGAAGAATATGTGTAGGAAACCATACTGAAAAATAACAGCAGTGCAGTCACACTGGGTAAAGAAGAGTATGAACTATACATGCTTATGTCATATTGTCTTATTTGGAAATCATGAAATTAAATGGTTTTGTATTAGAACAACTTCCCTAAACCTTCAAACGCACGAGTTTTAAAATGAATATAATAAGCCTAAAATGAGATCAATTGTGTGCATTGGTTGTAAATGGTTTTAGAAGCTGAATCCTGCACAGAGGGAAAGACAGTGGAGGGAATCTCCACCTATGTCTAGTGATTTTCCAGGACTCCATTTTACACAATGCCCCTTGGCAGGAGCATCAGCTGATTGAAGAAAATATGAAAACAACTATCACCTTTTCATTTTCTGAAGACTAATAGGAACCACAAGGAGAGAGTACACAGAAAGGTCACCACCCAGAGACACATTTGTTTGCATAGCCATCTCCCTAACTCTTGGCTGCTTGGCTCATAGGCCAGAAATTAAATGGCTTAAATTTATTTAAATCACAGGCCTTTGTCTGTTAAGTTTTCAAAGTCATACTGTGCATTTATATTTGGACACACTGTATGGACACTCTGAGGTAAGTTTCATTTACTGCCTACAGCAGATGTATAGCCACTTTATTCCTGTATATATACAGAGAAACATTTGCTCTCTTACACACCACACTATTTCCCACTTATTTTAACCTTCATGTCACTGGATCCAAATACAAGCAGGAGGTCCAGTCCTTTGCCAGACACTTTTTTTAAAATTAGGAACTCAATTAAATGCAGCATCTTTAAGAGGAAGCCCTCTCCCCCTGGTGTCTGAAGATTGTTCACCACAAACACTGCCTTGCCCTCAGCAAAAGGGAAAGCGCACTAGGTTTCTTTCAGGGAAATGTATTTCGTATTTTAGCTTTACCAGACCGTAGAGTAGAAAGCTCGGAGAGCCTTACAGGGCTCGTAGTAATCCGCGCTAGGAGAGCTGGTATTTTAAACCAAAACTCTATAATGTCTCCAAGGGGGACTCCAGGAAAGCATAGTAGTTAAAAGAGCAACTTAAGGGCAAGGCAGAGGTGGGAAAACCAGCCTGGCGCTCCTCCTGGATATGTAAAGAGCCCTTGCCAGCTGGAGACTCTGGCCAGTCTTCCACTTATTGGAGGGTGGGCAGTTTAGCCGCTGACCTGGTCGAAGTAGATGGTCATGGTACGGTTGCTCATCTCTGACGGCTCGTGGTTGGTGCTCCGAGTAGCGGAGAAGGCCACCTTGGCACTGCCTGAGCGCACAGAAATGCCCAGGGAAGAAGTGACGGCGCCATCCCCTGATGGGCTGGAATCGCACACAACCAGGCACTTGCCCTCTAGCACGATGGGTTCCGTGTCGTTCTGAGCTGTGACCGGGCAGCAGGCGGGCAGTAACAGCAATAGTAGGGCCAGCGCCGCCCCCAGACTGGAGCCAAAGTCGGCCGGCTCACGCAGCGCCCCCCGGCGCCCGGGCATGCTCAGCAGCCGCCCTCTGGGGCCCTGGCCAGGCGCGGGCATCTGGGCTGGGGGGGCGCCCTGTGAATGTCAAGGCCGGCAGAAGCCAGGGAGCTCCCTGGGTGCGCACAAAAACGCGCAGGGCTAGAGTAGTAGCCTTCTCTGGGCTGGGTGCTCTCGCCTCAGATGGTCAAGGCCAATTGATTCTCAGAAGGAAGGCACCTGCAGACCTGTCAGGGCAAAGAACCCAACACTTAGGCAGGCAGGTAGAAGAAGGACAAGTGCCTAGTACTCTCCAGTCCCTTCCAGATGACCATTCACTTGGCTCCTGAAAGCTATCCTCAATCCAGATGAGACATAATGAACGCGAAAAAGCTCTGGAACACCGTTCAGCATATCCCAGCAGATCCCTGAACAATTTGCTCCTGGAGCCCTGGGTTCTGGGTTGCAATTCTGTAGGAGGCTGTAAACAGGATTGGGGACCTCTGAGAAGACATCATTACTGTCCCCTGCCTACTCGGCCCAAGACATCTAAAGGAATTAAATGAGTTAAGGAAAACAAACAAACAAACAAACAAAATGATGCTTAATCAGTTTCTTTTCAACGGCTTTCTGGATAGCCACAGGAAGAAACCCTTCCTTTCCTGGCCTTCCCGTTTATCCTGTTTTCAGGAAGTAATGTATAAGCAGCCCATTTCGAATAAAAATAAACTGCCTCTCCGCCACCACCACCCCCAAGAACAAACCCCAGAAAGCTTCTTGGGTGGATGAGATAAGAAATAAAAAGGAAAGGACAGAAACAGGGAAAGGCGGGAAGGGTGGGTGTGAGGAGCGAAATTTTAACACCCACTTCCAACGTTCCCGCAGTCACTGGTGAGCTCCCTAGGAGAGCCTGCTGGAGTCCTCTCTCTGGCAAAGGTGAAGAGCCGATTCCAGCACCAGGATCGCCGGATTTTACTCATTTGCAGGCTCTTTTCTCTCTCTTCTGTAGCATTCTGCTAACTTACACGGGTTTGCACTTTTACCCTGTCCCCTCTTCTTCAGCTAAAACAGAGAGGCCATTCCAACACCCAACACAGGGACACAACCAGAAAGAACCCGCCCCTCCTCTCCCACACTCTCCAAACTCTTTCAATGTTCTTTCTAAGAAAACCGAAGTTGCGTTTGAATAAATATCCTGTCTACAGCTCTCACGGGAAGGATAACAGGACACCCCCACCCCTAAACATACACACACTCAGGCGCAGTGTCTCCTTCACTCTCTTGAACCCCCAGCACACATATTACTCAAGGTCCGGGTGAAGCATTACAAAAAGGCAACTAGGAAGCGGATCCCGGAGCTCAGGGGTTGGGTAGATTACCTGGAACGTCCATGACGGGCGAGTACCGCTGTCGGAGAAGTTGTTCTGCTTAGAGAAAATAAGGCAGGCGAGAGCTAGCGGGAGGAGGACACCTCGGAGCGCGACCCTTCTTCCAGAGCCTGGCCAATAACTGCTCCGCCCCGCCCTGCCTCCTCTCCTTTCGGTCGGATCTTGCTTGTCAAGCACACCACGCCCCGGCCCCAGGAGCCCAGAAAGCCCCACAGCAAGTGCTGCTCCGCGCAAGGCGATACCTGGAACCTACTTGCTCCCCACTCGGATTAGAGCCGCGCCGAGACCAGTAGCCGCAATAGGGCGCGCAGCTTGCCTCCTCCGGCCCAGAATAGTCCACCAGCCAGAGCACCTATCCTGAACCTCACTAGTAGGATCCCTGGGTCCCCGCCTCTGCTCCAGACTCCAGAAAGCACAGCTCAGAGATGCCAACTAAGGACTCCTGGCACCCTCCGTTTTAGAATCCACAGCCCTGTGGATTCCCCTGTGACTTCCCTCTAGCACCTTGCCAAGCCCAGGTGTCCGTCTCTCACCTAGACATCTAGCGCAGTCCTCTTAGGTATCTTCTTAAAACTAGGCGCCCTCGGAAGCACCAGCCGTGTTTCTTCTTCCAGATTCTTTTGCTTTTCCAAATTCCCTCCAAGTCTTTATCTTGAACAGAGTGGCCACATTCATAATTTTAAAGGGGGGAGAGTACTTAAAAAAAAAAGGAAAAGTATTTTTATTTTTTTAAGAGAGAAAAAGCCTCCGTAATTTAATGGCTTTAGAATTCCGATTCCAAAATCTCCCGTTAGTGAAATGTCAGCTTTTGGCAGAGATTAAAGAGGCTCTTCCTGCCTGGGTTTATGTGTCTGCTGCTCTGAACCCCGGGGCTGGTGGAGCGCGTTGGAAGCACTCGTATTTATTAAAACGTAGTCTCTGGGCTCTAAAGACCCGGGGAGACACGCGGGGTTCCGAGCTGCGCCTGGAGAGCCGCGAGATGCGCAAGCACGGACGAGGGGCGCCACCTACGGGCGCTGGAGCCTGCTGGCCTCAGGCTGCGAACAAGCCTACTCGGTGTGGGGGAGTACCCAGGGACAAAGGTGAGGTTTAAGGATTTTTTTTTTTCTTTCACCCCAGCTAAAACAGCGCCGGCTCCTACAAAGATGTAACAAGGTTGTCTTTCAATATTCGTTCGTCTCCCAATTTACTGCAGTTATGATTGTATTTTTAACTCTTCATCCCTCTAACATGTAACTCTGCCAAGATCATGTATGCTGTTGTGGGTTATCATGGGCTATTAACATCTGCACAGCCTTTGTCAAACCTTTAGGATGGGTATTCCATATTGACATTGAACAAAGGCAAGGCAGCTTTTACATATGGGCGTAATATGAGTTTTAAAAGCATCGTTGCAATGATTGTGCTCTGTCTTGGGTAGTATGCCTTTCTGGTAGGCTGGTGAAAAAAAAAATCCGAATCAGCCCATGTAGTTCAATAGAGTGTAGCATGTTTCTGTCTTGTTCCCCCTGAAGTCAGCACACCTAACGCTCCTCCCTTTGAACATTTCAGTCATCCTGCTTCTGCCTTATGAGACGTGACTTCTTAGATTAGAGCTTTTTGAAGACCCTTTTTATTGGCTCTTTCATGGCTGTTCTAGGATGGAAGGCCTAAGCACTGAAGATACCGTGCGTGTCCAATCAGCTCAATAGGAAAGGGGGTGAGCTGAGTCCAAATGAAACCCACAGCATTAGTTTAGTTGAGGCCAAAGGTTCCCCATGGGTATCAGGGTATTGTAGTGATTAAGAGAGCGTCAGAAACAAATGTATTCTACTTCACATAACATTCAGAGCATTACAGACTATAAAATAACTTACGAATCGGTCAGCCCTACAGCAGTCACTGGAAATTGTAGCTTCCAGGTGCCATGCTCAGTACCACCGGGAAGCTTGTAAAAGGCACAGCAGCCAGATCTTACTATCATTTGTGAGTTTAACTCAGCGGAAAGGGTGCAATCTTACTTTAGAGTCATTTTACTCTAATATCATACGAATTTGATTGTCTCTGCCTGGGACAGATGATTGTACCGTGCCATCACAAAGACGGAATTAGATTCAAACCTGCCAACAGAGGATAAAAGAACGCAACCAAAAAGAACAGACTTGAGAGCGAGCACAGCAGAAACAAGCCTTGCACACATCTAAAATCTTTAAGTAGTTGTTTAATTAAACAGTTCCTTAGGTACTTTGAGATATTTGACTTATATAAACACCCGAACCAACTTACCATCTTTAAGGCAACAAAATAAAAGAAAAGCAAAACAAAACCACTTTTACGTGTTGTGATGGCAGTATGTAAACAGCAAATTAAGGAGACTTTCACCTACGGAACTAGGTGATGGTGTAAAACCAAGTATCCTTATGTTACAAAGTGAAAAATAGGTTTGAATCTTAGCTTGAGTCTTTTGTTTAACAAGGAAATTAGAAATTGTGGGATGTATCAGACTGAAAGAAAAGTGAATAAATTATTGATCCACCAATAGGTACTTCCACCTAACAGATCTTTGGTTAGGAGGTAGATATTTTTAGCTTGTAAGCATGTTTAGAAAAAAACAAAACAAAACATCCAGAGCATGGAATTAAAGCAGAAAACTTCTGCGTATATTTCAATGATTACATACCGTGCCCCATATTTTCATTACTAGTAATCATTGTTATTATCAAAATATGGACAATAAATTAGGTTTCTGAAGTGAAACAGCATTGCCATGGACAGTAATAACATCAAACATCTATTGAATGTGACTGCACCATGACCTTTGCTTTTGATGTAGCAGAGAGCATAATGCCCATAGCCAGCACCCTGAACCAGAGACAGGCATCACACATAGCTAATGGGAAAGTATTGTAATGTTAAAACGTGCATTTAAAGGGAGAAATTAAGCTCGTATTCATTCTATTTGTCCAAAATAATTATCTATCATAAAGCTTAACATGATCTTCCCAGGAGAGAACCCACTGGTGAAAAGCAATTCCAGCCTGTATTAGTCTTTTTTTTGGGTGGGGGGGTCATCTCTAAAATACAACATCATACTTGTGTATTTCATCTGAGTATGTTTTAAATATGATTTCTCATGGTTCTCACTCATATTCGGGGATGCAGAACCTATAAATGTACTTTTACAGAAAAATATATGCACTAACAAAAATATGTCTTTCTTTAAAATATGAAAATATATATTTAATATGGGATGGTATCTATGCTAGAAATGCATATCATATACTCCTTCAGTTATATATGGTAATTTGTTTAAATATGTTCATATTTCTTTGTAAAAAAGATATTAAAGGATGAATTATTACACGAAAAAAAAATAAATACTTCAAGCTACATGGATATTTTTCTCTTAATGAATTACTAGCCTATGTGGAAAAAAAAACTTAAGATTGGAATGAACTCTATCTACCTCAGCCACTGCTCAGTAGAAAGCCCAAGAAAATGTATTTATATGAGGCATGACGTTACATTTATTAACTGAAACATGACACAATCATATTACCCCAGACAAATTAGATAAACATTTAATTGACTAAGTTAAAATGTAGACTGACTGGACTCAGACTGTCTACACTCTGTAGTCACATTGGGATAAATAAGCTATCAGTGCTATCCAGGAACAGCCTTGATTTGTCAGCTTATGTTTCAGAGACTTTTACAGCACCCAGCCAAATATGTAATATCCGTCCTATGTTTTTGTTAGCAAAAGACAGCACACCACAGTCATGGAATTAGTTTCAGTGGTACTGTTTTCTTCTTCTTATATGCTTCTTTACTGGTTTGTTTGGTTTCTTTAAGACAAGAGCTCACTGTGCAGGCCTGGCCCGTTGTGGACTATTCAGAAAATGCTGGTATCAATCTCAATAAGGTCTGCCTGCTTCTGCCTTTGCATGCTGCGTTGGTATTAAAAATTGTTCTACTTTCTCAACATTGTAAAACTAACTTGCTGTCTTGTTAAAAAAAAAACCTTTATTCTTTTAGTGCACTTTGTTATCCCCTGTAGGGATATATAGTGAGGTCTGGGATATTATGAAGCAACTACTTCAAGGTCTCACGATACATGACTCTTTTAAAAATTATTTATTTCAATTTATGTCCATGTATGTACCTGCATTAGTATAGCTCATATGTGTGCAGATGCCTGTGGAGGCTATAAGAGGAAGTTGGAACCTGTGGAGCTGGAGTTAAGTGTAGCTGTGGGTAATCTAACAGGTGCTGGGGAAGAAGCTTGGGTGGTCTGGAAGAGCAACAAGCACTCTTAGCCTCTGAGCCATCTTTCCAGCACTCCTGTGATCCTTAAATAGAGTAGAATGATTTAATAGTAAAATAGGAGTGAATATATATATGTATATACATATATATATTATATACATATAATATATATTATGTAGCATAGTATATATTATATATATAGTAGTATATATAATATAATCAAATATTTGAGATATTATATACTAGTAGAAGACATAGCAAGAATTAATTAGAAGAGAAACATTTTCTCTTAATTCTTTTAGGTCTTGATGTTTCACATAATCTTGTCTTCTCTCTTTATTAAGGGAAGGAAATGTCTCTGTTGCCTTTCCAAATTGGATCAAATGTCTAATGGATAGTCATTTAACTGATTAAAAATAATAGATTTTATACAAGATAAATGTTTGTCAAATCTTTTTCTCAATAAGAAATAGTTAATGCTAGATGAATAAGAAACAGTTAATGCTAATATCCTACAAATTTTTCCTTCAAAATCAAATGCTATTGGTAAGAAAAATATGGAAAATCACTAATATGTGCTAAAGAATTTCCTGATTTTTTCTTAAATCTTTTATTTAGATTAAGTTGCAAGTATGTTGTCAAGGCTCACAATACCCACAATATTTGAGTATGGGTAAAAAATATCGTTCTGTAAACATACGTTTGAGGGATTGTTTTGCTTGTCATAATTGATGCTGAAGAGCCAGCCACCTGTAGATAGCATTATTCTTAAGCAGGTGGTCACAGGCTCTATAAGAAAGCTAGCTAGGCAGAAGTAACAAGACTGACATTTCTTTATCCAATATAAAATAAGTGGAATCATATACTGCCTAGATGTGAACATAGCTATGATGCAGTTTTTTTTCAGAACCTTGTTTTGGGAAACTTGACTGAATTATTTTTTGATTGACATTAACTCTTGATCTTGAGAGTATTTGATAGACATGAAGTACCCTCAGGGAGTGTAAAAGGAGCCCTCTTAGGAATGCTCGGAGCTGATACTGAGGAACTTGAAGGTCCAGGCTAAGAATAGTGTACTCCCTTAGGAGCCACTCTTTTGATATAATCCACTATAAAAAGCCATTTTATAGTGATCATGAGTTTTTAAGAGAAATATGATTTATCTGAACAGAAATCAGAGTTCAAGCACAAATATCCTTAAGACATGTTTCAGGATCTAAAGTGGAGCTCTGCTGCCTGGCCACTTGAATGCTGAGTTCTCTTTACAGTGGAGTACCAGTATTAACAAACTCGAAGGCCACAGCCTGTGCCCTCTGCCATCTCTAGCCATCTGTCCTCAACTAAAAGAGCCAAATTAATAGTGAAAACCAGAAAAAAAAAAGAGATTTATTCAATGTCATTTTGGCAAGGGGACAAAGGCATCTAGTGAACTCTATACTCCAAGTCCTT